GCAATTGTGGAGGAAGAAGGGGCAATTGTGGAGGAAGAAGGGGCAATTGTGGAGGAAGAAGGGGCAATTGTGGAGGAAGAAGGGGCAGATGTGGAGGAAGAAGGGACAGTTATGGAGGAAGAAGGGACAGTTCTGGAGGAAGAAGGGGCAATTATGGAGGAAGAAGGGGCAGATATGGAGGAAGGAGGAGCAGCTGTGGAGGAAGAAGGGGCATTTGTGGCGTAAGGAGGGTCCGTTGTGGAGGAAGAAGAAAGTACAACTGTGAAGGAAGAAGGATATCTGTGGAGGAAGGAGGGACATCTGAAGAGGAAGAAGATACAGTTTTGGAGGAAGGAGAGACCACTGGGGAGGAAGAAGATACAGTTGTAGAGGACAGAAGAATAGCTGGGGAGGAAGGAGAGACAGTTTTGAAGGACGGAGAGACATCTGGGGAGGAAGAAGATACAGTTGTAGACGGAGAGACAGCTGGGGAGGAAGAAGATACAGTTGTAGACGGAGAGACAGCTGGGGAGGAGGAAGATACAGTTGTAGACGGAGAGACAGCTGGGGAGGAAGAAGATACAGTTGTAGACGGAGAGACAGCTGGGGAGGAAGAAAATACAGTTGTGGAGGAAGGAGAGGCAGCTGAGGAGGGGGAGAAGAAGGAACAGTTGTAGAGAACGGAAGGATAGTTGGGGAGGAAGAAACTGGTATAAAATGATACATAGGAAATGGGAGGTTAGGTAGGAGTTCAGTGCAGGTGGGCCTTTCTCAACGTCACCATCCATCAGTGGAAGTGGGGGAGTTGAGCAAGACTGACTTCCTTTACCTGGTGGGGGCTGCGGGGGGCACTAACATTTTAAATATTTGGTCAGTCTGCCCACCTCAACCGTGACAGCTGCGGATCCGTCACTTTGCCCCTCTGCGACTCCGCCATTTAATAAAGTTTGGTCACTGCGACATAAGAAATAAATTGATGGAATCCGAGACTTTTCTGTTACAATTTAACTCATAATCTCCCTGTTGCAATTCCTCACTCTGCGCCACCGACAGGTTGTTGGTCCCAATGTGACATGAACAGTAAAAGGATATGTAACAATGATGAGGTACAACGAGGAGGAGGAGTCTACAGATCAGGGGAATAATGGGTGGAAACAAGATAAGAGGTGCTGCTGCGTGACTGCCTTGGCTGGCGACACTTTGGAGCTACAACAAAGAGCACGAATAGGATCTATTACAGACATCCCAAGGACTACGGATAAGAAGATAAGAAATCCAAGGCTTTTAGAGGCTTGTGATGTCTGAGCTGGGGAAAGATTTACAGTGTAACTAACACCAAAAAAATCCAGATGGGGAGAAAAGTTCACCCCCTCCCCCCATGTAACTCAGATACTAAACGCCATTCAGAGCTCCACCATTGTACTATATGAATTTCCCAAATATTAAACAGTGAAAAGAGCAGAGTCCTCCAGCAGTACAGAGTATATTAGGAGAGGAGACTTAGAGGAAGGAGCAGAGTCCTCCAGCAGAGCAGAGCATTTCAGGAGAGGAGAGTTATAGAGGAAGGAGCAGAGTCCTCCAGCAGAGCAGAGCATTTCAGGAGAGGAGAGTTATAGAGGAAGGAGCAGAGTCCTCCAGCAGAGCAGAGCATTTCAGGAGAGGAGAGTTATAGAGGAAGGAGCAGAGTCCTCCAGCAGAGCAGAGCATTTCAGGAGAGGAGAGTTATAGAGGAAGGAGCAGAGTCCTCCAGCAGAGCAGAGCATTTCAGGAGAGGAGAGTTATAGAGGAAGGAGCAGAGTCCTCCAGCAGAGCAGAGCATTTCAGGAGAGGAGAGTTATAGAGGAAGGAGCAGAGTCCTCCAGCAGAGCAGAGCATTTCAGGAGAGGAGAGTTATAGAGGAAGGAGCAGAGTCCTCCAGCAGAGCAGAGCATTTCAGGAGAGGAGAGTTATAGAGGAAGGAGCAGAGTCCTCCAGCAGAGCAGAGCATTTCAGGAGAGGAGAGTTATAGAGGAAGGAGCAGAGTCCTCCAGCAGAGCAGAGCATTTCAGGAGAGGAGAGTTATAGAGGAAGGAGCAGAGTCCTCCAGCAGAGCCGTCCTCTGATGCACAGGGAGGGTCGCAGTCTCCAGGTTCTAGTGTTGCTTACATGCACAGTATACATGGAGGGAGGATATGCACAGTATACATGGAGGGAGGATATGTACAGTGTACATGGAGGGAGGATATGTACAGTGTACATGGAGGGATGATATGTACAGTGTACATGGAGGGAGGATATGTACAGTGTACATGGAGGGAGGATATGTACAGTGTACATGGAGGGAGGATATGTACAGTATAAATGGAGGGATGATATGTACAGTATACATGGAGGGAGGATATGCACAGTATACATGGAGGGAGGATATGTACAGTGTACATGGAGGGAGGATATGTACAGTGTACATGGAGGGAGGATATGTACAGTGTACATGGAGGGAGGATATGTACAGTGTACATGGAGGGAGGATATGTACAGTATACATGGAGGGATGATATGCACAGTATACATGGAGGGAGGATATGCACAGTATACATGGAGGGAGGATATGTACAGTGTACATGGAGGGAGGATATGTACAGTGTACATGGAGGGAGGATATGGAAATCCAGGCATGCAAATGACTTGCTTACTGAAGACTTCCCGGGGCATCAAACAGATCAGAATATTAATGGACTGAAAGTGAATCCCATAACACGCTCAGCGGTGGGTACGACTGTACGTTTTATAAGAGCAGAGTTAGCCCCGCCTCCATCACCCTGAGAGTGAGGAGACGAGGGGGATCCGTCTATAGAACAGCGAGAGGCCGGACTCTGCAATCAATGACGGGATTCATTATTATAAAGAATGATTCCAGAATGAAGGCAAATGTATCAATTAGACTCTCTGCATCATCGTGTTGGAATATCAAGGAAATGTATACTGGACGTCCGATCGGCAGAATGGAATAAACTCAATACTCAGGCCAGAGACTTATGAGATCATCCAGCACACCATCACCTCCACTGCTATCGTGCGGTAGCTGGAAGATGTAGTGAAAAATGCTTTTGTTAGGTGAATTAGTGGCCAATATAACAAGAGAAATAAAATATGCTAATTCATTTTTTTTGTTCAGTTGCAAATTACAATATAATATAATAATTATAAATTACATGATAAAAAATAGTAACATAAATAAATAAATAAGAGAAATCATAAATAGATTTGTTAGGGTGATAATGATCAATATAATAAAACATTGAGTCCTCCGCAGACACAAGTGGCCGACTCTTCATGGGAGGAAAATTGACCAACGCAATGGGAAAATAACAACCTGATGTTCTCCAATACAGACACAGAAAAAGTATTTTTCCTTCTTCTGGGGTTGGATGAAGGACATGGACCACAGTTCTCCCTCCCAACAAAGATAGGACCCTTCCGAAATTACTCCTTAGATATGACCCCCCCCAAAATAGGACCCCTCATATATGACACCTCAAATAGGTCCCCTCAGATAAGACCGCTAAAATAGAAACCCCTCAACTATTACTCCTTAGATATGAGCCCTCAAATAGGAGCCCTCAGATAGGAGCCCTCAGATAGGAGCCCTCAGATAGGAGCCCTCAGATAGGACCTCTCAGATAGGACCTCTCAGATATGACTCCTCAGATATGACTCCTCAGATATGACTCCTTAGATAGGACCCCTCAGATAGGACCTCTCAGATATGACTCCTTAGATAGGACCCCTCAGATAGGACCTCTCAGATATGACTCCTTAGATAGGACCCCTCAGATAGGACTCCTCACATAGGACCCTTCAGAGAGGACCTTTCAGATAGGACCCCTCAGATATAACTCTGCACATAGGACCCTTCAGAGAGGACCCCTCAGATAGGATCCTTCAGATAGGACTCCTCAGAGAGGACCTTTCAGATAGGAGCCCTCAGATAGGATCCTTCAGATAGGACCCCTCAGATAGGACCCCTCAGATAGGACCTCTCAGATAGAACCCCTCAGATAGGACCCCTCAGATATGACTTCTCAGATAGGACCCCTCAGATTGGACCTCTCAGATAGAACCCCTCAGATAAGACCCCTCAGATATGACTCCTCAGAGAGGACCTTTCAGATAGGACCCCTCAGATAGGACCCCTCAGATAGGACCCCTCAGATATGACTTCTCAGATAGGACCCCTCAGATAGGACCCCTTAGATATGACCAAGATTTGATTTCAGATCTCCATTTTTATACCTTAGAGAGCAGAGTGAGGTGCCGCTCACTCAGACTATCCAATGGGATGAAATAGACTGACCATTATATCTTACCAAAGTAGCACAGGTTGGATTTTGGCTCCAATCTTCAAGTGCTCAGAACTGTGTCGCGAGCAATGGCTTCAGCTGTAGTTCTGCAGTACGTCTTACACAACCGGAACCAGCCTAAAAATACCTAAACATTAATCATTCTCCCATATTCTGCAACAAAGCACATTTGCCGTCCAGCATCCTCTCATTTTTCAACGATGCTTTTGCGGAAGGTTTTATGATTGCGCGCTGCACGGCATGGGAGTTATGACTTTTTTCTTGAACTTCAAAAACACAATTGTCTCAGATTCTAGGTGGGAACGTTACACCCAGTCTGTTCTTATTTGGGATGCAGACCCATCGGCTGGTGTCCAATGAGGAACACACAGAATCTAAAGCTTTTGACACGGTACCACAAAAAACACTTAGTGCACAAGCTGAGGTCTATGGGCATAGATGACATGGTGTGTACATGGATAGAGGACTGGCTACAGGAACGTGTCCAGAGAGTATTGATAAATGGCTCATCTTCAGATTGGTCTAGGGTCGAGAGTGGCGTGCCTCAGGGTTCTGTGCTAGGCCCCATACTATTCAACCTGTTCATTAATGACATCGGGGAAGGTGTTGGCAGCCATGTTTCCGTGTTTGCTGATGATACTAAAATCGGGAGGGTCATAGACACGGACTTAGACACTATAACATTACAGGAGGACCTGGATAAAATAGGGGAGTGGGCAACTACATGGCAGATGAGGTTTAATGTCGATAAATGTAAAGTGATGCATTTTGGGGTCAAAAACAGGCAAGCGGAATACACATTAATGGGAACTCCACTAGGGAAGTCAGAAATGGAGATAGATTTTAGAGTCATAGTGGACCACAGATTGAACAATAGCTTGCAATGACAGGCTGCGGTAAACAAAGCGAGCAGAGTTCTGTCTTGTATTAATAAGAGAATGTATTGCAGAGACAAAGCGATAATTCTGCCACTTTATAGATTGCTGGTCCAGTTTTGGTCACCAATCCACAGAAAGGATGTCCTGGAGCTGGAGAGAGTACACAGAAGTGCCTCCATACTCCAGCAAACATCACTCACTTTTTTGCCTGTCATTGCTCGCTTAGTGGATCAGGATCCATCTCTGCACACGACATAAAGAGACATCATTAACTCTTCTAATACCAATACTGAGCAGCTCCCCCTTCAGGACAACGGACACCATCCAGCCGAACATTCACCTCAAGTCCACTCGATCATGGGTAGGTGATCATGCAACCTCTCCCTGAACATCGGAACCAGGTCAGCACTTCCGCCGTCGATGACATCATCTCATTCAGAACCTCTGGAAGCCTTGCAG